TCATCATCATACCAAGTGGCCCAGTCCCCTGTTCCATTCCTGGTTGAAGCATAGTGCTCCCAAGCGCCCAGCGCCTTGGTTCCAAATCACCTCTTTTTAACTTTATATACCCTCAACCTCAAGGACCTGCGTTCAAGCCTCAACCTCAACAACAATCTTTGACACCTCTATCAACAACTTCATCAACAACAACATCATCATCAACAATCACCATCAACACCTTTAACCGTTATACGAATCATTCGACAGCTTCATCTCAAACTATCCTCTATCACGATATATAAACTGCCAAGCTGAGCTTAGTGGTCTTGTTGTTCTGATAGCATAGAAGGGCAGAGCTTGCAACTCCATCATCCCCTTCTCCATTCAGCAAAAGGGTTTCACAACCACTTTTGAGTCTTACAGCGAGAGGACAAAGAATTCATCAGATGGCCGTCGCAACATCCTTGCCAAACGCCCATCCGAAGAGATTACAAGGACCTGGACAATTGTTCAACATTCGACGATCACATCCAATTGTTCGACGATCGACCATCCAATTGTTTGGCAATCACATCGTCCCAATCACCTGGCTCACCGCCAGTTTGCAATTCCGAAGAGACTTGATCTTGGTCACTTTGCAATTCCGACCGCTTTCCAAAGAACTAAATGATTGTTTGGTGTAATGTTTTATTTCTACTTACTTCTTGTCAATTTTTTTAGTTTTTTTTTCTCAGTCAATCACTTGCTCTCTCTCTGTCTCTCTCTCTGAAAACAATGTGTTACAGTGATTAGTAGCGAGCAATGTGAGTGTACTTCTACTTAAATACTTATGTTTTTCCTTACTTGTTGCTCGTTTTCGCTTTTTTTTTCTCGGTCGATTGGTCTCTCTTCAATCTCTCTCTCTCTATTTATGAGTAATTTTTTCATATACTGTACATTCAATTTGAGGGTATGGCATTATACTTTAACGGCCAATTGGCCAATTAACATTTTAATGGACTGAAAGCGAAAACATTAAAGGTCCGATAAAAATACAAAAAATGACTATTTTCAAAAAAAGATAGAAAAAAAACAAACGGTGGCGGGAGAAAACTGGACCAACAGAATTGTAGATGGGATGCCAGCGCTCAGCTAGGATAGGGTAGTGAGATCAAGACATCAAACATCGAATTTAAAACTTGAAACAAAAAAATTCTACGCTTATTTCTGAGGAGCTCTTGCGCGGGCTCCTCACTCTTGGTCATAAGCCTCGCTTGCACCTCACACCTACGGGTGCTTGCGGGCTTGGTTACGCTCGCATTTCAGTACGATTGCAAGTTTAGGTGATGATGAAAGAGGAATAGGCAGCAAGTAAATTCGAGAGAAAAAAAGAAATCCAATGGAGTATGAAAAAATTGTAGCTATGATGTGGTCTTTTGAAGGAGGTTTCGATCGTGATTGCGCTCAATGTAAGAGGAGATAACAAGTTTTGACAAATGTGTCAAAGTGCAACAACTAATGCTAATATTGTTGGAGCAGCGGATAACAAGAGAGCAACAGGCAATTGGAGGGTTTAGTAGCAGCTACCGCTGGTGGCGGAAGCATCTTTGCAGCCACAGTCAGCACAGGAACATGCTTTTCCGGTGTAAGACTCAAAAGTGGTTGTGAAACCCTTTTGCTGAATTGAGAAGGGGATGATGGAGGTGCAAACTCTGCCCTTCTATACTATCAAAAACAAGACCCCCAAGCTTAGCTTGGAAAGTTTTAATAACGTGATAGGATTGGTCGGTTCTGGTATGAACTTTGTTTTATGAAAAGTAAAGGTTGAATATGTAATTGCTGATAAAATAAAACTGTTATGTTATGTAACAGGTGAAAGGTTTATATAATTGTTTGTAACTGGTGAGTTATATATTGATTGACTGCTGAGTGATGTACTGAGTGAATGAACTGAGGAGACAACAAATGGGGGGAAGAGAGCCTCCTTCTATAGACAAACGTGAGGGAATTTAGCTCCAGGGCAGACAAGAAAGAGTGATTTTAGCTGGCCTGTAGGTACAAATGAGTGAATTTAGCTAGTCTGATCATGCAAGTGAGGGAAATTAACCAGTGAGGCTGTGTACAATTAATGCCAAAGGCTGTGCTGCAGTGCGTAAATAATGTGAGAAAGTGTCAAATGAGGCAATAAAGTGTGGGAAAAATCCAGCTGTTGTCATAAATGAGGTGAGAAAATTGATAAACTGTGGGAAAAGTAATTCAATCAAGACTGCGCAGCCTGCAAAGGCAGTGCATGAGGTGACAAATAGAACCAAACTAATTTATGCAGTGGAGATAAAGAGGTGTGGGAAATTATGTTTATACTGTGAGCTGTGTATAAGCATAACTGAGAGTTGAGTTGAGGGTTGTGACATGTGCTTGATTGGATGTTGGCTTGTGATATGCGTCCGTAGGGGTGTAACTTCCAATCTGTGAGTGTTCCAATGATGCGTCCAGTGGTGACCTAGGCTGAAATTGTCCATAGAGTCCATTTCTGAAATTAAATTGGTTGATTTCTGAGTGAATGTATGAGAAAAATGTATATAAAGGAAAAACTTTGAATTTTTTACATATTAAATTACCACACCGGCAGCCGCACAGACGCATCGGTTGGCGGCCCTAGTGAGAAAAAAAAAGAAGAGACATAAGTTTGTAGGGGTGATTTTTTGGGTGATAGATGTGAAGGGGGGGATTGGGGTGAGTGAGTGTTTGGGCAGCTTCAGGTTGAGGAAGGAAGGTTGTTTTTAGTTTGATAGAGGTATGCAGCTGAGCAAGAGTATTTTAGGCTTCTTTCTTGAGATTGTCAAGTGTGGCTGAGGCAGGGAGGAGTGACGAACTCCATTTCAAGAGGTTTTGGAGCATGTCAAGTTCAGGGTGGCGGAGTGAAAAGTGATCTTGAGAAATTGTAATCAGGCTGGTTGAGAGAACCAGGTCCTTGGCTGTTGATTTTGAAGCATGGTCACACCCAAGTCGTTGATCTTTGATTTTGTTGATTGTTGTGAGTAGGCATTCCGGGCTTTGGTCTTCAAGCTTCAGTAGATTCTGCAATTTAGACCAGTCAGTTGCACCCGACTTGAGTGCTTGATTGATAGTCATAGACCGGTGTTCATCAAAGTTGAGCAGCCGGCAGACAATCCGTTCAATGGAGTGCACAAAGTCGTACACTGCATTCATCATCTCCGTATTTTCCACCTTTTCCTTTGTAATCTTCAGCTCTTGTTCCGTTTTTGCCAGCTTTTCCTCCATTTTTGCCACATTTGTCTTCATGTTCTGCATCTCTTGTGTGACTGAGTCAATCTTGGAGTTTTTATCTTTCATAAGTTTTTTGAGTTTTGTTTGCGGTTGTTTTGCGTACTCTAGGGTACCTAGTAAAAAAGGTCGGATTTCCTTGAGCGTGGTGAGAAGGTTGAGTGGTTTGTATCTTGCTTCGAGATAAGGAGTTTTGCCGTTGTGATCTGGACCGATAAATAGCTGGCCACTCATTTCAGTGAGGTGTTTGAGGATGCTTAATGCTTGCTCTTTGATGTCATCTTGAGGATATTCTTCAATCGTTGCTTGAATCTTGGCTATTTTCCCCCTTCAGACTTTTGGCTTTTCTAAGCAATATATTTTTAGTGTCGGTTTCCAAAATCAAGTGCTGAATCCAGATGACTAGCTTGCGCATCTTGGGTAACTCAGCATTCCATGTTTCAGCCGGTCCATTAATCAGTGCTTGAAGCCTGCCAAGTTTTTCACGAAGTTGTGGGACAACTGATGGAGATAGGTTGGAAGATGTTGCTGGGGAGGGTGATGCAATTTCTTGCATGGTGTGATAGAGATGAGGCGGATTCCTGACAACTAAACAACAACAACGAGCACAGTATGGGAGATGAGGCGGATTCCTAACGACTAAACGACAACAACAAGCAAAGTATGGGAGATGAGGCGGATTCCTGACGACTAAACGACAACAACGAGCACAGTATGGGAGATGAGGCGGATTCCTGACGACTAAACAACAACAACGAGCACAGTATGGGAGATGAGGCGGATTCCTGACGACTAAACGACAACAACAAGCAAAGTATGGGAGATGAGGGGGATTCCTGACAACAACAACGAGCACAGTATGGGAGATGAGGCGGATACCTGACAACTAAACAACAACAATGAGCACAGTATGGGAGATGAGGCAGATTCCTGACGACTAAACGACGACAACAAGCACAGTTTGGGAGATGAGGCGGATTCCTGACGACTAAACGACGACAACGAGCACAGTATGGGAGATGAGGCAGATTCCTGACAACAACAACAAGCACAGTATGGGAGATGAGGCGGATTCCTGACAACTAAACAACAACAATGAGCACAGTGTGGGAGATGAGGCAGATTCCTGACAACTAAAAAACAACAACGAACACTGTACGGGAGATGAGGCAGATTCCTGACGACTAAACGACAACAACGAGCACAGTATGGGAGATGAGGCGGATTCCTGACGACTAAACAACGACAACAAGCACAGTATGGGAGATGAGGCGGATTCCTGACGACTAAACGACGACAACGAGCACAGTATGGGAGATGAGGCAGATTCCTGACGACTAAACAACGACAACAAGCACAGTATGGGAGATGAGGCGGATTCCCGATGACTAAACAACAACAACGAGCACAGTATGGGAGATGAGGCGGATTCCTGACGACTAAACAACGACAAAAAGCACAGTATGGGAGATGAGGGGGATTCCTGACAACTAAACAACAACAACGAGCACAGTATGGGAGATGAGGCGGATTCCTGACGACTAAACAACGACAAGCACAGTATGGGACTAGATCAGGAACTGTCAAAATGAGGGATATGGAAGGATCAGTTCAACTGTGTTCCTTGATAAAAGAGGGAAAATGGAGACTTGAGGGTTGCCTACGTAGTTCAGGGTTGTTCTTGATTTGGTTGAGTTGGAGTAGGTGGTGGTTGGAGTCGGAGTAACTGTGTTCCTTGATAAAAGAGGGAAAATGGAGACTTGAGGGTTGCCTATGTAGTTTGGGGTTGTTCTTGATGTGGTTGAGTTGGAGTAGGTGGTGGCCGGAGTTGGAGTTGGGTTGAGTCGAGTTGAGAAGGAAAGAAGTGGATTGTCTGTGGGTTTGCTCAACTAGAAAACTTGGACTAGCAGCCTGGGAGCAGATCTCCCAAACTGTCACCTATCTGTCACAGCAGTGCAGTCAATCCAGGCAGGTGGATTGGGTAGAGGACCCAGGAATGCATGAATTTTTTCACCCCATAAGACCACCATCTGGCTATCCAATAGCCCAGGTAACCAGAGTTCGCAGCCTATCTTAGGTCTCCAAACATGTCCCTTGCTGTCCCTTACAGGCCAGCCTACATCCCTCCCCTCTACACATGTAATCATCCTGCAAGCTTGAAACCATGGTTCCATCACCTTCCATGGCTGTGCGGGGGCTTCAGATTTGCACGGAAAATGTTATGGAAGCTTGGCCCTGGAAAGATAACAAACTTCGGTTTGCAGAGAATAACTTTTGCATGGTCTTGGATCCCCGCGCCAGGACATCTGTAAAGATCATCACCTTCCCCAGCTGCTCAATGAAGGTTCAAGATATCAAGAGACTCCACCTTGACCTTGATGATGGTTACATTGACATAGTACCTCTAACCACCGCAACTTGTAATTCAATTGCAGGCTCCCCAGGGGCTCCTGATACCTCCTCCGGCCTGTCTAACAACAGTTCCTCCAATTCCATGCAATGATCACCTCATGATGTCCCCAGTATCTCCCTCATTTTTTTTATTAGTCTCTCCTGGTTGTTATTAGTTATTGGGAGTTGCTGTTCCTTTTGACTGTTATCCTCTAGTTGCATACTCAATTTTTTTATGTCTTATGATCACTATTCCACCCTGTGCAAATAAACTGTGATTCAAAAAAAACTCCTTGGGAAAACCGGGTTGATTGTGAACTTGTATGAGTGAATGTGACTCCTGTCTGGTAGGCTGGTAGCAGAGCTAAGCACAAGAAAATTATGCTACATTTGTGACTGAACTTGACAGAGATCAGTCAGTTCATAAATAAATCATTATGGGAGCTCAAGGACTTTTCTGAAGTCAGTGACAGTTGTGAGTTGTCAAAGATTTGGAGATATGCTATGTAATTATAATTGTTTTTGCTCAAAATATGTGCAAGAACAACATGACATCAGTAAAGAATATTTATTTGCAGCAGAAGAAAAAAAACAATGACACAAACAATTCAAGATGAATGATAAGAGGAAGGGTTCATAAGTTCATACAATAATCATGTCCAGCTACATACAAATCTTCTTTATTTTTATTCTTATTTTTTGGCCTCTTCAAGATGTCACCATTTTCAATATCTCTAAAGGTGTTGGCTGTTTTTTTGTTAACTCTAGCAAGGGCAGTATGTGCACGAGGTGCGATGAAGATAATGCGTGGCACAGAATGGGGAGAGTCTGACTGTTGAAGTCAGTGACTGTGAGATGAGATAGGCAGAAGTATGTAATTCCGTGAAGCATGAGAGAGAAAGAAGAGAAACAAACAGTCGACAGGCAGCAGTCTTATAAGTACAAATATTTGGCTATTCCTTTGTAGGCATATAGATAAAGGAAAAGAGAACACGCGTAGCAATTGAGTATATGAGGAAACAGAGGGAAGAGAGATAAACAGTAACAATAACAATGATCAGTTCAGTTCTTGAAAGGGTTTTGTTTGTGTGTTGAGTCTGAGAAGCTGAGGCTGATTTCGGTCTGATTGAGAGTGAATTTTGAGTCAGTAAGAGCAGGTTTGAGTTGAGGAAGTGCATCAATGTGGAAATGGAGAAGGCGCAGAGTGTGTGGATAGTTCTGAGTATGAGAAAGGACTGAGGAAGTACCTGACTTCTGGACTGTGGTTGTAACATTAACTTGAAGTGAAAGACCCATACGTGTGTGAAAAGGGGATTCAATAGCTGGAAGAGTACAATGCCTTATTTTTCTTGAAGCCCAAATAACTTTAACAATACCTTTTTGTTCAGAGAAATTGATCCCAAAACCATAATCAGGGAAAACTAATGCGCCACCAGTTATATCAAAACTATCAGATGGTTTTAGAAGAGTACCATCAGCCGAGTTTGTTGGAAGGAATAAACCAAAGGCAAAGTCCTGAGCATCTCGTTCATCCTTGTGTGGTGGATTATAAAATCCACCTGTAGTCAAATTTTAATTTGGAGAGCAGTCGTATTTGCCAAGGGAGTCTTTGTGATTTAGGGATGCGAAGGCAGGGATTGAATTGGTCTTCATGAGCTCACAATTTTCTTCAAACACCACATTTGCTAAATCTTTGAACATTTTCCCAAGAATTTTTGAGGGACATGGTGAAGAGTGCATGTGGGCATCATATTTGGGCTTGGCATTATTGAGGTAAAGTCCAGCAAGCTTGAAAGTATCCATACACTTTTGCCATCCAAACGCCCACATTTTGCCACCCCAGAAACGTGGTTTGGATGATATTGAGTCGACAAAGCTCTTGCACTTGTGAAGGAAGCTGGTGACTATGTTAAGGTCACTTGTTTGTTTTGCTGATAGTTCTTCCAGCGGAGTGAATTCAATTATTGCTATTACTTTATTTTTGTTGTGCTTATCTAGAACCACTACCTTTCCATGTCCGAAGTAATGGAATTCTTTTGCAACTGTGTGCGCATGTTCAAGTTCGGCAGCTGTTGGCTTTTGGTCTCCCTCTAAGATTTGATGGGGGAAGAGTTTGCATGGTTTGTATTCTTTCATTGACCAGGTAACACATTTGGGGGGTAACAAGGAATCGGGATCATGACCTGATAAAGTCAACTCGGATCTTCTAATGTTTTGTTTCTGTTTGGTATGATTGTCTCGTTTTTGTTGTTTTTGGTATTCCTTTGTGAAGTTCAACATGCTGAAGAGTCCAAATGATTGATGCTGATACCAGTTGAAGAACTATCAGTTATAAATTATTAGAACACAGTAGGGTTCTTAAAAATTTAACACACATATTTGAATTGGTTGATTGGGCCTTACAGTCTATGAAATCAAGCTGGTTAATCTCGACGATTCCAAGCAAAATACAAGTGATTCTTGATCTGTTTCTTGGCAGTAATCAATTGGTTGAGAGTATCAGCCAAATTTTCACATTTTTGAATGGGCAATGAGTTCATAAGTGGAACAATAGGAATATGTAATTAGGTACATGCCAGGTAAAACAGAAAAGGACTCCTATGCAAATTAAATGATTGGAGTGAATGTCACAAAATGAAAAAGCAGTCGGCTACCTGATTGATTATTTAGAAAGAGGAAAGCATGTTAGGATTGAATTTATCAGAATGGCAAGTGATTTGGAGGCTTGCCAGATAATTCCAAACAAGATGACTTTGAGTCTAGTGGAACCGAGGTCCGTATCAGATGAGGAAGCTATTTGGTGAATTTATCATTTTAAAAATCAGCAACATGCTCATTGTTAAGAACTTATGATCAGTGTAGCTACATTGATCAATTGTGAAAAGGAACACACCAAGAAATAGAATGGAATCTTGCTTTTGAAGTGGAACAACTCGTTTCTGAACCACAAGGTATGAGCCAATCGGGGTCGGTATTAGATGAATTTATCAGTTTCAAAATCAGCAATATGCTTTTGAGTAAGACCTCATGATAAGTAGAGCTACATTGATCAATCTCAAACAGAGACATACCAAAAAATAGAATTTAATCTTGCTTTTGATGTTGAACGACTTGTTTCCGAACCACAAGTTATGAGCCAATTGTTGAAATGCTTATAGCCAGTAGTATGCTTATATCAAAACTCACTTGTATTTAGTGTATGGCCGGCTCTGATCTTCTGACTCTTCCTCACTGAATCTAAACAAAATTTATCTTTGTGTTCAGTCAACTGTCACAAGACTTACGTCTGTGACTTTCAGCTCCCAGCCTGGTCCACCTCAACAGGTTATGAGACCCATCGCCGCTACCGCTCCTATTTGATTCTGGTTATCAATTCTCCTCAATATCGCTCATATCGGCTCAACAACTTGTCTCTTCAATACTAAACTTATTTGCTTGACTCTAACAATGCCAATTCGCCAGATGAACAACCCTTTGGCTTTAATTCAAACGGTGCCAACTCGGTCACGTTCCCCTCTTGGCAAAATCGACTCCAAAATGTCTTGAAAATCCAAGGGGTCCTCGATATTGTCAACAAGACCTTACCTTGTCCGAACAACACCGACTCGAAGGAAGGGAAACTTGCTATTTGCTCTCCGGAGCAACGTGGCTACAATCCCAAAGACTACGGCGCCAATTGGGACGCTTTGTCTGACATGGCATGCTCCACAATCCAAATGACTCTATCGTCGGACCTCGCTATTCAATACAAATTGGTAAAACCCGCCAGCAAGCTCTTCTCGACCATTTGTGACGCATACAAAAAGAACACGCGGGCCAGGAGACTACAACTTCAAGATGCATTTTGGATGGCTCGTCACGACCCGAACCAGCCTATCGCTAAATGGATCGCTCGGATACGCATGGCAGCTTCGGACCTAGCTAGCGTCAAGTTGACCCCATCCGATCAACAAATCTGCGACAGACTTGTTCGTGGTCTCGACAATTCGTGGAAAACAATTAGGGATCATCTTGTTTATTCCCCCAATGAAGTTTTGCTTGACGACGCAGTTGGAGCAATCAAAGCTCACGAGATCTCAACCACCACTTCGCTGGACCACTCCGATCACCTAAAAGCTGCTTCTGCCGTCACCAAGGCTAAAGGACGACCGCAATGCTACACATGCGGTGAAAAGGGACACCACTCAGCCGACTGTCCAAACAAGAAGAAACACATGAAGGCCTCTGCAAGATCGGTTGAAGCTCGTGCAGGCGCAACCACGGTGGCTCAGTTAGGCAACTACAAATCCAATGAAGAAGACGATGACAGTTTTGACGAAGAAATTGACGTCTGGGGATAACGGGATTGAAGGTCGACGTATATTATATTTGTAGTACGCACAACTCCGGTGCACGCTTATGGTTAATGTCTCTTGTCTGCTTGTTTTCAGTACAGAATTTGTCATGGATTCTCCCTTATCCCTGCATACTGAGAATCTCTGACCTGGTTAAAATTAATTTTTTCTGTTCCCCTAAGAGATTTTTTTTACTAGAGGCTATAAATAGTAATTTTTTGCTCTGCTTTTAAACCTAGTTAGTTTTGTTTTCAGCAAGGGGGGATGTTGGAATGCTTATAGCCAGTAGTATGCTTATATCAAAAATCACTTGTATTTAGTGTATGGCCGGCTCTGATCTTCTGACTCTTCCTCACTGAATCTAAACAACATTTATCTTTGTGTTCAGTCAACTGTCACAAGACTTACGTCGGTGACTTTCAGCTCCCAGCCTGGTCCACCTCAACACCAATAGCCTAGTGGAACCAAATGCAATGTCAGCTAGTAATCATGATCAGTATATCTACGTTGATCAATTGCGAACAGGGACATACCAACAAACAGAAAGTCATCTTGCTTTCCAAGTTGAACGACTTGATTCACAAGCACAAGGGGTTGATATCAGCCGATAGCCTAGTGGAACCAAATGTGATGTCTGCTAGTATGCTGGTTTTTTGATCCAAGTTTTTTATAAGCCCCCGATCAATAAAAAAAAGGAGAAAATGTTGAGTACAAACATAAAGGCTGGTGTTAGGGAAGATGTGTTGAGCTATAGTTGTGTATCCCCAATCAAAAATTGCCTGTCCAGACATCTGCCCCCCCAAAAGTCACGACCTAGTGCTTTATCATATTCATTTGGAGGGATCTGGGCAGGTGATTGGGATGAAAGGGAAACTGTATGTTCAGAAGTAAGGAAAATTGATTGAGATGTATAACTCACGGTGGATGTCTTTGCTGATTGTGAGCAGTTTGCAGGTGGTTGGATATCAGAAAACTGACAGTCAGATACAGGTCAAAATCATTCAATAAAATGGGATCATTCATGTAAATGGACCTGTGTGCATATGTGATATTTATCATTTGTTTCTGTGGTTCCTTGCCAAAAAAGCAAAAATTGATGTGAACACTGGCATAGCCTACAGATTTGATAAGGGCTTGTTGGGTAATTGTTTCAGATTGATTATAAATTAAACTTTTGCACATGAATAGGTACTGTGGGACACTGGATGAAGGATCAATAATTGATTTTTAAAAAAAGAATGAACAAGGAACATGTCTAACATTGATAAAATGATAAATCTGGCACATAAGGTAATGTCCAAGCTGGTTTGTTTAGAGAGAAAATAATTTCTCAATGCCTGATCTTATGATTTAAGGTATTTTAAATATGAATTGATTCACATGAGAAAATTGTGGACTAAATGTGTAATGACTATACTTATAGTGGTGAATGTGTGGCAAGCAAGGATTATTCATAAACAAATCTGGATTCTGGCACATAGGATAAATGTGAAACATTTGAATATTTACTTATCATAATAGATTGAGCCATCTTTGGGAATTTAGAAATAATGAACAAGGAATCCTTTGGAAAATATGACTAAAAGACTAGCCTATCAAAATAAATTGATGCTAAATAAATGATTGTGGATTCATTGCACTATCATCCAGTTTGATTACCAAGGTAATACATTTTGAACTGCAAAATTGTGGTGATATTTTGGATTCATTTAGGACATGAAGATATATCTAATGTCCCCAATTGGCAAGTGCCTCAAGTGTGATTTATACCACATTCCCCTTGGTAATGTCCTGTTTTCCATAAAAAAAACATGATGAAAATCACTGTTGAATGTCCTTAGGTTTGTGCCATGCAAATCCAAGTGCTGTTGCCCAATAGATTTGTACACAAACACTCACCCCCACCAACTCAAACAATTTTGGCATTGGTTTCAGCACCCATTTGAAACTGAATAAGCACATCATCATATAACAAAGCTCAAAATGTTGAAATATAGCTCATCAACCCCTTCACCACCTGGAATTGTACACATCAACTTTTCAACATGTGCACTGGTACCTATCTTCCCATGAACATCCCACTATTGCATTGAGGATGCCAATGGAATTTCTCAGAAATGCACCACACAAGGATTGGTCTATTTATGTTAATATTGTTCTGGTTATGTTGATCAAGATATTGAGGATGCCAATGGAATTTCTCAGAAATGCACCACACAAGGATTGGTCTATTTATGTTAATATTGTTCTGGTTATGTTGATCAAGATAAGTTGAATGGATGTTGCTGCTTTTTAGCTTTTTCCCATTCAGCCTAGCCTCTGAGGCAACCAGCTGTTACAGTTATCTCTGTTGTGTTTGTTCTCTTTTTTCTCTTTTTCTCTTGTTCTTGTTCTTGTTCTGGTTCTTTTGGTTATTTTAGACCTTGATTATGTAGTGTTTGTTTTTTCTGTTTCTTCATCAAATTTTTCTGTCTGTTGGTTTGTTTTGGTCTTGTGTGGTATTCTTCTGTTTTATGTGTCTGGCTAGCTTGAATGCTGCTTTCATCAATATTAATAAAAAAGATATCATTGGCCATCTTCATTAATCTGGCATCAATTTGACCCTCAATATGGTTAAAAAGCATGATTTGGGTTTTCAAAGTGGACAAAAGCCACTTGCAGGAAAGCAATCAGGACCTAGGACTTCCTGTGGCAGAATCTGGCTTTCCTGGGGGCAAGACGCAAAGGAGATCATATTATATATAAGGAGAACAATCAGGTTTTTTTCCTGATATACACCTCCTGCATGCCCTAATTCTGGACCTAGGTTTGGTGGAATTTGGAAGCCCCAATTATTGATTTTTTTTGGGAAATTACTGAATTCATAAAGGCAAGGGTCTCTCATTATCCGTCATGACTTCCAATAGTTGGCAGAATGCGGAATCAAGCGACATGAATTCATGAGAGACCGGCTGAAAGGATTCGTGTCCAAGCTGGAGTGCATCTCCCACTTTCAAAATTGTAAAATATCCAGTCCAAACAGTCCACTTTCCTTAGTAAGAGCAGTAGTCCACCATTCAACGGGATAAGATTGTTGCAAAAGATATGAGTTTAGAATCCGGCGTTTCTTCCCCTCGTGTTCACCAAAAACAGCTTCCAAGGTGGATCGAATATCGTGTCGTTCTGAAAGAAATCTTTTGCCAGGATTCCAGCCTAGGATTGAGAGTCTTGGAGTATCTTGAACTAAGAGGGGGTCTTCTGAAATTCCAAAGCGTTTCTTCAAATCATCTATCTGAATCCGACGCCAAAGAGTCTCAATAAAATCAGGATCAGTTGGTAGCTGCAATCTTAATTCTCTCCAGTTTGAAGCAATGGTATGTCGATGAAGTAGGCGACGAAATGCCAGAATCCTTCTGGGTCCTTCAGGATAACCAATCATGGTGCAAATCTCTCTTTCTGCTTCAATCACCCCAGATGGAGAAATTTCCCAGTGTTTTTTTATTGTCGCGTAAGTGGCTTCATCGATGTGTGAAATAATTCCAGAATGATGTTTTGGATCTTGTGCCTTTATCAATGTGGCCATAAGGGACATTAAATCTAAATTCAAGCGCAACTTCTCCCACCGGTCTACGGTTTCTTCCCCCCAGTCAATTTTCAAATAAGCTATGCTTAGTCTCAGGGAATCCAAGCTTTTGTCACCCTTACTAAGAACATCATTTCTTGGATCTGGTAATGTTATAATTACTTTTGAATTTTGTTTTTTATTATTTTTATTTTTCATGAATTCTTCGTTGCGGGACTTGAATTTGTTTCCAAAAACTTCTCTGAGGGGAATCATGTTGTCAAATTTAACTCTTCGATCTTGGACAAGATCTACTTTCTTCTTTTCAATCCTTTTTTCTGGATATCGAATGGGGCCATCATTTACGTGATCTAGTTTGATCTCGTGGGTTGATGACGGACCCGCATGGGCTGCCTTGGTGGTGGCGGAGGGTGATAGTCTTTCTTGATTTCCTTCTTTCTCCCTTGTGGTTGGATATTTGACATCTTCGAACTTTTCACATTCAGGGGGCAAGACATTTGAACGAGCGCCTGCGCAAACATCGGCGCCTTGGTAAATGGTTGTGCTGGCACACTCACGACCCTGATCGCTGGGGTTTGAAAGCAAAGTCACGCTGACTGGCTGCACCAGTTGATTGGCCAGCAATGTCAAGGCCCATATCTCGATAATCCTGCAAATGAGAACTGGCCAGTTTAACGAACAAACTGGCGAAGACTTCATTTCTTCAAGGTCTGGTTTGACTTGGTTCAGCAGGCATCAGTGTATTGATTGGCATTTCAGGGCCGGGCTGGACAACAGCCAAGTGTCGCTGCTCTGGATAAAACAGTCTCCAGTCATGCTGCGTTTATATGAGTCCTGTACCTCAAGGCCCTCTGTATTTGGAGGGGACTTCATGATTCAGTAGCAGAGGCACGTAAGAGGAATTTTAAAAATGAGATTCACGTTCATAATAATGTTACACTGGCTACGGAAACAATTTCTGATGCTTGAGACATGGTCACAACGTGGTCGCTCGAGTCAAGCTCATGACTTTTCAGGACGACTTGGGATACATCGGAGTACAGCAGCAGCCGGCAAAAGAGACCAGCGGGATGCATTGTCCGTGAGCAGCATGCACCGTCCGATTCTTACATTTGTTCCTGCCCCGGCATTTGGGTGCTGCGCCTGCCAGGGACTCCAAAGGAATCGGCCCTGATGGCTCCAGGCCAAACTGATGAGACAAAAGGCTAATGAGAGACCCAAGACACCGAGCGAGCCCATATCGGTTGCTGATGTGAAATCCTGAGTATATAACAAGGGTTGGATTCTGATGAGATGGCGTACTCCCCCCATCACTTCGGTCCACAATTTCTTTCCCCCCCTGTCTCATTCACTTCTTGGCATCCTCACACATCTTTTTAAAATTTTAACTGCCCGTGGCTGAAGAAAGAACATCAAGACCACATACGAAAAGGGTTACGACTCTGGAATTGGCGCACTATCAACGATTAGAAACGACAAGAATAACCGTCAAATGTCGAGCCATTTCAGTATACTCCAGGAAGCACTCCATCACTCGTTTCTTTGAAACCTCGCCTCAGCACGTCTGAAGGATAACCAAACATAACGAAAACGCCTCCCAGCGAAAAACGTAGTGAAGCGAAAAACGCAGCGACGCGACTGATGTCGAGCCTGTTCGAGTACTACTCCAGGAAACACTCCATCACATGAAGTATTGCATCAGCGCGTCACAAAAGGACATCGAACATAGCGAAAACGCATTCAAGCGAATGCCATAGGCAAAAAAAGAATTAAAGCGATAACCGCAGTAGAGCGAAAAACGCAGTAATGCGAATAACGCAAGTCACCGCAAGAAGACGAAATTTCTCTTCAGTACTAGATACTATAAAACCTCTCATTGAGGTCAAGTCTCTGGTTCACTTCGTGACCAGGAGAATGTTGAACCAACCAAAAGCAACAACGACTAGGTGTTATACCAGTCGACCATGCTATGATACCAGCTAACGCCCAAAGTCAAGCCTGCATCAAAGCAGTGCAGACACAAGGAAGCGAAGAGGTCGCTTCATGTCTTTTAATGTTCAAGCCGTCTCTCATGACAATGCTTTGCTACTCCAGTTCTATAGATTTTCCTTTATTTCGTCGTTCAGCAATGTATAACCAAAGACCAAAGAAGCAGGATAGCTGTTGATTGCTATGTGCTCAGTCTAGACTTGAAGTGATATCAGGCCCATATGCCTTTCTTGGATCGTAATATGCTAAAATGACGTTTGTCTTGTCGTTGTTGCAGTTTTGATCAGAAGCTTTTTTCACCAGGAGACTGTTTAACCAATCAAGAGCAACAGCGACTTAGTTATACCAGTCGACCAACGGCACACTGATACCAGCTCACGCCTGGAGCCAAGCCCACATCAAAGCATTGCAGACACAAGCAAACGAAGAGGTCGTCGTTCAGCGATGTTTCACCAAAGAGACTGGAGAGCTGCTTATCCTTATATGCTCAGTCTTCACTCAAAGTGATGGTCCATTCACCAGCTTCTCCTCCAGTTACGTTTGCCTGGACGTTTTTAGATTTTCGACCAGAATTGGCGTCGAAGATTTTTTTCAGTATCACTTGACCGGACGCACTGCATGGAGTGCAAAGGCATATCAGCCGGCACACAATACTCTGGATCTTATCGAACGGAAATGTCCTTCAAATTGAATCACATCTTGTTTGACTCAATTACCTCAATATTTCGACAGTCACGAGCCCTTGGTCACTTTTTGCGACGATATTCGCAAGCGGCTCGCGCAAGGTCAGCAAGCGCGTCGGGTCATCCGATTCGAGCCGCACTTAATGTGATGGCTGAAGACCCAGTGGCATTCATTGGAAGATATCCGTATTGATGGATTTGTCGAGAATGATTTGATGAAGGCCCAAGAAGCATTCCAGATGGCTATGTAGGATGCTCGAAAGCCACGCACTCAACACGATCCAGTCGAGGATACTAATTGCAAACCACCAGAGAGGATTCTTCACTCTAGTCTCTGCAGCTTAACCTCTGTCGTTTCTCCTCAACCTAAATCATCACCCTCTTCCTCGCGTGTGCAAGGCGTTGGCTTGCCAGTACCAAGAACTGTCGCTTAACGCAGCGAACTTCCACATTTGGGTCTGCGATGCCTGCGAAGTAAGTGATGTTTCGGATCGTTTTGATGAAGCGCTCGAGAGGTCATGTCCTCTTACCAGCAAGGGATCCAAGCCCCATACCAAAACTCTTACCCGCGAGGGCGCCCAGAAGCCTGAAGGGCTGACACCATGACTAATTATTCAAGTGAAGCAAGCTGCTAACTCACGAGTCTGAGTTGGAGGCAAATTCCATCAGTCTGTGTTTATGTAACGGGAAAGATCAGGGAAAGATCAGGAAAGACCGATCAATTAAAGCTGCAAACGGCGCTTTGTATATTCATGTCGAAATTCCTATTGGCCGTGCATGGCCGTGTCCTTCGGGTGGTTTTCGATGGTGAAGGCTGAGATCGAGCTGAGTCACAAGTCTCACGACAGGCTGATCACCCCCTTCACCACGAAGGCAGGCCCTTGTACTACTAGGTGGAGTACAAAATGTACAAACAAGATTACCCTCCGCCTAATCATTTCACCGGATTACTAATTCGGCGAAGTCACACTCTGGAACCATCGCTTGCCGGCACTAGAGCTCATTGAAATACATAAATAATCGACATCAGTTCCTCCCTCAGCCTGATCGGATGGAGATGCTCGGCTAGAGACTAGAGTGCTCTTTCTTCTTAGAATAGCAAGCTTACCCTATCTAACTCGAAAAGGGCAACTCTTGAGAATGGAGTCGAGGCCAGCCGACGACTCCAACTGCAGTTCACCACTCAAGAAGGATCAAGACGAATGCTCGGCAAGAAGCCATCCCATGGAAATAGACCAGCAGCATCAGCAAGACCAACAAGAACCAGCTGATCACAAGAATCATGGTAGTTGCTGCCCACCGAAGGACAATATCACCCTAGAAGAAGCGCAAGCCCAACAAGCAGCTGATAATCAAATATTGAGAGAAAAGTTAACAAACCTCTTGACTTGTGTCAAGCACATCGACCCATCCTCAGCCCCAGCTTCTCCTCCGTTGCCACCGGCTTGTTCTCCTTCCGCCCAGGGCCTCGAGTCACACCTTCTCTACAAACCAATCACTCTAGACTCAGGTTATTCGCTCTGTTCAGCTTGTTACGATTTTTATCCTCACGAACTACCACCGGCAAGCCAGAAGCATCTTCAACCATCCCACCAACTCTCACCAGTCTTGACCCTTGATGATCATCGCCATCTAGCCCAGCCAAGTCCTACGGTGAATTTTATCCTCCAAAAGGTCGTCCAAATCGCCAGGAACCTTCCGCCTAAACCAGCTGGCGATTCTTCCATCGGAGCCACCCTGCGGGCCGAATTAGAATGTCCACTCTGTTCCTTCGTCTTCGACTCCCCCGTCACAATCTCATGTGGCCATACGTTCTGTCGTCCATGCTTCCTTCGGGCACGGGATCATGCCGACCACTGTCCGGTATGTCGACAGCCGTTCCTGATGGGCCCTCAGGCCGTCCCAGGGGTCGACCTTTTGATTGATCGAATCATCGAGCAATGTCTCGCTCCGTCAACCGGTACTGCCGGCCCGGCATCGGCAGTCAATCTCGAGGCCAATCACACCATCCCACTGATGGTCTGCTCCATCGGATTCCCTGAGATGCCGATGTTCTTACAGATTTTCGAACCCCGCTACAAGCTCTTGATCCGGAGAAGTCTGTCGACAGACCGGAAGTTTGGCATCGTCATCCCGGCATTCGACCATCAGCCGTCGAGCGAATTCGACCATCATTACTCGACCATCATCCGTCCAACGGCTGATCAGAACTGCCTGCCGAATTTGCCGGTCCATCTCTTCGGGACCATCGTCGAGATCAGGAAATATGAGACTGCAGCCGATGGAAGAATGTTGATCGAGGCCAGGGGCTGTGACCGGTTCAGAATCGAGGGTCTCTTGGGCTCCCTGGATGGTTACCTGGTCGCTAAGATTCGCGTCTTTGGTGACATGCCCGTCCAGGACGCTCGTCTGGAAGCTCAAGCCAAAGAACATGCATTATACCACCATCATCATCATTCCTCAGAGTCAAAGCATCACAGGTCAGAGCCCACAACCGAAAAATTGATGAACACCTGCAAAGAATTCATTGAAGTCTTACGATCCGGTAGTTCTCCTTGGATTCTTGAACGTCTCAATGTAAGTTCATCCACGTTCCATAGGACCGCAGGCCGAACTATTGATCATTATATCTGATTATAAAAAAAAAAAAACAGGACACATTCGGCCCCATGCCCGACCAGCCCACCGAATTCACCTATTGGATTGCGATGGTCTTGCCGATTTCGGACCAATACAAGGCGGCCTTACTACCGATCATCAGCTATCGAAGTCGGCTGAAGATCCTGGTCCGTTGGATCCGAGTCCTCAAATCTCAATGGAACAGTCAAGGCTGTCTGATCACCTGAATTTCTCCCCAAGTCTCTCCTCTCCATCTCCCTTCACGCTACGTATTTGTACTCCACCAGCATCCATTGTCATCCTTCTCTCTTCTCTCTTGCATATCGCATCATCGCATCGTTCTTATCTGTCAAAATTTGACTGCCCGTTCTGTATTCTGAAAAAAAAAAGTTGATATCATGTTCAAATACACGAAGAGTGATTGGATTCTAGTTTTTCTCTGTTGACACAATCTTATTGACTGCATCTGTCTCTCCGCGCGAAGTTGAGATAAAATTGATTTCATCTCAGTCCATCAAACAGCACAAACACGTCCTCTAGACTCAAAAGCCATACTTGATCCAAGCATATTACCAACAGAGTCTCATCGATTAATGCTGTCTCGATTTCCCTGTAATATATTTGTTTGCTCTTGTTCATGAAATCCAAACGTGAAAACGTTATGGTTTTGGCCGATAATGGCCCCTGGCCCCTCTCATGTATATGTCCAAGTCAATTGAGTGGACGATATACTGTAACAGGGTGAGTTGCTTTGAACTTTTTTAGCAGACCAAACCTATCGAATCACAAATAAATCCAAAATTATCAAACAAATGCTCAGACACGGAAGTTTGCCCTATCACAGTCTACCCCCACCTGTGAAGCTCAAAGGATGATACCGCACGTTAAGCTCTGAAATCGAAAGTTCTTCCTTCCCTTCTCCGTTACTCACTACATCTAAGAATATCCTCTGGGCACTCCATTGCATTCATATTAAAAGTTAATGGCATTAAATTTACAAATGTACTCGAACTCATAAGCCGAATTCATGAACAGAGTAAGAAGTAGAAGGTGATAAATTTCATCATTCTTTCCATATGATATCTAACATGAAATTAGTGCAACCAGGAATTGATTTTCCGCAAAGAACTTTGATCTGTTATGATACTGAATCAAGTCAATCCGCTAGGAGTCCCTGGTGAATTCGAGTCAAATCATATGGTCAAAGACCTTATAATAAGGCGTGAATCATCAAGCAACTACTGGAGAGCATATGTCTTTGATCTGACTGGGTCCAAATGATTTTTACCTTCGTGAGGAATAGTTGAACTCGTCGCATCCCATTTGTTTGACGACGATCATCAATTGAAAAAATTGAATTGAGGAAAACCATCAAAAATAATTAGATTGCTACATTCAATTGGTACGACAACGCTAGTAAGATATTTCCCCATTGCCCAAGTTGCGCCTGCACCACGGCATGCAACCGATCTGACAAAATGTATTCTGGGGGGGAACTGAGGGCAAATAGGTCATCAGAGGATGACCCCAGCCAGTTTTTTGATTCCAAGAGACGGGGCAGTGGCAACTCATTTATTGCTCAAATAAGCCGTCCACCAGTGGACGAATCTGGCCTGCTCGACGGAGATACCGAGGCTAGCTAAGGCCCGATTGCTCAAACGACAGTCCCGCGGCCTCATCGTCTCCCCTTGGGCCGGCTGAGGAGGGTCCGGTTGGGCAACTAGGTTCTTGATTTCGGCTTCGCTCAACTTGAGTAACTTCGCAAAGACTAGGGAGATCTTGTACTTGGTGTATTCCTCCTCTGAGGAAAAATGTAAGATCGGCGGGAGGGGCTCTTTGTATTCTATAAAATATTTTTACCATCAGTATGTATATGCACTGCTTGAAAACAAGGCAGGATGTGTATTTTCGAAAGTAATATTTTTTTCCCAATAAGAATGGATCAGTTTCAACAGAGCTCACCAGCTAATGCGACCAGAACTTTGGCCACGTCGTCGACCAGAGTCGGAAACCGAGTTGCCCAATCGTCCATCAAGACTTTCTGACCCACCGCAGCCTTCTTGACCCCATCAAGCAAGACATTGATAGCTTGTTGTTGATGTCAAGTCCAGTGGATAAGAGGTTAGTAATATTGGGACCTTGATTATCTTCTGTATAAGATGAAGTACCTGACTCGCTATTGTTTTCAGCCTTCCCGTATCTAAATTCTTGATCAAACATGAACATTCCGATGTTGCAAAGCAAGAGAGTGGAGGACCCGGTGACTTAACAGTACAGGCACTCGGAGCGAGACCGCGTTGCCTCTGTTGGTCACTGTGTTGAGCATTGCTTGTTCACCTGCCAACTTGGTTTTGCCGTAGAAGTTGGTTGGACTGATACATGATAAACGATTTCATGAGTTGCATCGATCACCCATTTTTATATCGTTGTGAGCTTGTGCATTGTCTTACTTGGGTGTCGCCTCCACATCGTATCCGCCTGAGGGAGCATTCCCATCGAAAACTGTTTTTAAACATGATCGATGAAGAATATTTAGCTTTCTTTCCTCTCTCTGCAGGGAAGTACCTGTACTAACATACCATAATCTGTACAAATGTAGATCATCTTGAAGCCTATTTGGTTGGACAGCTCGGCCAGATGCTCCGTGACTCTAACGTTCAACTGAAAAGGGCTCGGGATGAGATGAGGGAACATTCATGATGATCACAGATAGCTGGTGGTCCAACCTTTTGAGTTCCCTCTGGGTCTCCCTCAGCAACATCCGGTCGTCTTTCGGCCGCACAGTGAATCAGGACGTCTGGCTTAAGCTTATGAACCAGGGTTGAGACCAGGTTCTCATCGCGAAGATCGACCTGTTCGAATATGCTGGTTTCAGCCGTCTATAATCTATCTACTATGTAAGCGTATGTATTGTTCATCGCATACCTTTTCCAATCCTGGACCCGATCGAGTGAAAGAGAGCGAGGTGACTGATTAAGTCGCAGCGAAGGCAATGAGCGTGTCTTCTCCTACATCAATGCTGAGTTATTCCTCATTACCTTCATGATGAGGCTCGCTATCCTTGTGTTTGAATCGATCGACGACGGCGCGTCCGAGTAAACCTATGTAGGCGTTCAGATACACATCCAAGGATCAGTCTTTATTGCCAAAACTGTATGCCAAAAGCGAAGATGACTGACCCGATCCACCACTGATGAGGATTTTCATTGGTTCTTTCCTTTCGACTTGGTTGGAGGAAACGAAAGTTTGAGGATTCAAATCTCCCTGGATCTCACCTGAAGAGCAAAACAACAACACATCTCTCACTTCAGATGACCATCAACCAACAAACAAGTCCAAACCAAACAGCCCACACAGGTGCAAAAAAAAAAAAATTAAAACACAAGTATGTATACTCCTTGGCAACTTCAAAGCTCTACAGTTAGTTCACTCATGGATCTTATAAGCTTCTCAGAGTGGAATGAGAGGGTTCAGTTATGCAAGTTTGATTCTTATTGATCACTTTGTCAATCAACCTGTGGATTAGATACATGATGATAATTATACAGTTTTCAAGTAGAATCATTCAAAATTCTTGTGTTACTGGTTGTTAATTAGGATGTGCATCATGTTTAGTTTTGGTCAAAAATCATTCATGAAAAATGAGAAAATTCTAGGGAGAATTGTTTTCTCAAGTTTGCTGGCCGCCATGTCTGAATGCTTGAAAGAATTTTTGTAACAAATCAAGAGAATCAAGAAACATTCTAGTAAACTTCCACAGGGGGACTCGATCATCAAAGAAAAAAATAAAGGAAAAGAAAAAGAAAAAGAAAAAGCAACAAGAAAAAGACATGATATGAATTTTCTTTTGTGTTTGATTAATTTGTATGAGTTATGTTGAATTGAATGGGTGATTTGAGTACACTTCATATGCTTGATAGGGAAATATAATTATTAATAATTCACATCAAGAATCTTGGATCATTTCTGATGGTTTTGAGATGAGTGATGGATAATTCAATTTCTTCATCTAGATCACCCCGCTCCACTTGCATAACCAAATGAGTGATTTCCTTGAACACATTAAAGCTGAAAGCAGGTGAATCATAATCTTCATATAATTTATAACATATATTTTGTAACAAAGGAATTTCTTCCTTCAATTTTTCCTGACACTTTTCCATGACTGTTGAGAAACGAACTTGATGGTTTTTGTCATATATCTCAGTTCTGTTTTCCACAAATGATGCGTTCAAAATTTTGAGTACTGTATACAATTTATATACAATTGAGGATTGGATGATCAATCCTTTACTCAATCTATACCCTGTCAATAAAATCTGTGGAATTATTTTTTTCTCCATTTCTTGTACAATACCATTGCAGTTAATTTCAGTGGATCTCAAAATTTGACAGATAGCAATAGAAAGAAGATTTTCATATAATAAGGGTTTATTTTCAACTTGAGTGGGATAAATTAAACTCTGGAGTATCTCAGTTAATATCTTAACACCATCCTCCACCTTTTTTCTTGCATCATGGTTGCTGTATGTTTGCATCTTCAGATTGTTATCACTCAATCTAGTGATTTTATTTGATCCATTTAGGAGTTCTTCAAGATGATCACTGTATTCTTTAATTAAGATGGAGTTCATTTTTTGATGCCAATCTTTAGGTGCATTTGAATGTCTGATAGATATATCTCCAAATTGCAAGATTTTTTCTGATAAAGAATGAACTTCTAGAATCCTTTGTTCCATTGTATCAAAACCTGTGTCAATCACACAATAAAACATAGGAATCAATTTTTTGTATAAAACTTCCTGTGCAGATGATGAATTTTTTACCTTTGAAGAAATAATGTGTAAATGGGTTGTACCAGTGCTTCATGATAGATTCTAAACTATACCACATGTACATTATTGGTGTTTCAACCAGCTCTCTCTCTTTTCTGAATGAATCCAGTGCACATTCAAGCACTTTCTTGATTAATGCCTTATCATAAAGAAAACTTGATACCACCTTTTCACCAATCAATTTCTCTTTGTAAAATGAGGCCAAAACTTTGAGGAAGTATTTTCCTGATGGAACTGAGCTTCTGTCATAGAATTCAAAATCAATCATTGAAGATTTGTGATTGATGATTAGTTTCTTCATCTCCTCCAAAATTGAATAGCTAAATGATTCCCAAGTGCTCTTCCTAATATCATCAACCAAGGGTTCAGGAACATCATTTATCTTACGTAATAGTTCTTCATTCTGATCTTCTTCCAAGCATAGTGATGAAATTATCTTCTGGTGATTTTTGGATGAATATAACCCTCCTAATTCCATAAGCCTAACATCTTTCAAAACCAACATTTTATCTTTCAATCTTTCAAAAAGATCTCTGACAGTTTTAGTTCTTATTTCAACATGTTCACATAGATTCTTTGAGGAAAAATGATCACAAGAACATTTTTTAATCTGTAGTTGAATTCCCAAAACTTCTTCCCAATCCTTGTCAAGTGATATCACTTGATCTGATAGTTTCAATTTGATCTTGTCAGTTAAATCTTCCATAGGATCAATTCCAAGGAATCTCAAAATATAAAACTTACCATGATTTATTTCCCAAAATTTTGATAATATTGAAGCTGAAGAAGGTATGTTTGTTAGCCAGATAATCAAATGGAACACCAGTAAAACTGAAGAATGGAAGAGTTCACTTGCCCTTCCTGGGGGGTAAATACTTCAATAGATGTGAATCCTGGATCAATCTTTGAAACACAGATCTACAATGACCTTTTGGTTCACAAGCACAGTTGAAATTTTGACTTTGCACATAGTGAGCAATATTCTTTCTACTTGAAGCACCTTGTTCTTCATTGGAATCCAATACTTGGTACTGTGGATTTTGCATGAGTTTTTGTCTTTTGGAAGCTCTTGTTTCCAGATCATTGGCAGCCAATCCTTGAAATGGCGGAGTGGAACTTGAAGCTAGTTCTACCAAATTTTTCAGTTAGTATGATAATCATGTATAGCCATTATTTCCACAAATATTGAAAAACATATCTGGCTAAAAATCTATCTGGTGAAGAGAAGTATGCGCACCCTGGATTGATTTAGAGCCAGTTTCATCAGCCTCTAGCTTCATTATTTGCTTCATACACCAGGTAGCTGGGACAAGACCAATGATCAAAAATGGGAAATGCATTTTATCAAAGAATTCAATGATCAATATTGAAGTTAGGGATGTTGTCTAGATTTCTAAATGCACAGGCAGCGAACAAGCCATTGTTTTTATCTTCAACTGCAGTCATAAGGCAGTATGGCATATTTCTGAAACTTGCCACAGAGGCTGATCACATGGACGTTGTTGGGACCTGCCTGAGTGTCACCTGCCATAAAAGCTGCTGCTTGCCAAAACACAAAGCTCCCGCCCAAACACTCATTGGCTGGCTATGGCAATCCAGCAGTGGCCAGGAATCAGTTTTTTTCACTGCATCAAACTCAACAAAAGCCATTGTTACCTGTTGTGGGTGGGGTTGACATCTGAGTGGCCTTGTCCCTGTAGTATTGGGCCAACCGCTGTGGCCCTTTGGGCCCTCACTCAAAGGCTTGTGTTGGGCTCGCCACAGCACCAAACCAAAGGAGTATCTACAGTTAAGTTTGCATACATACCCAAACCGAGCCAATTTTTGACTGGCCCCAGGGTTTCACATTTTGGTTACTGTGTTGAGAATTCCTTGTTCACTGCGCAGCTTGGTTTTGCCACATAAGTTTATTAGGCTGAGCCATGACAAAGTCTTCTATTGGTTGAATCCACTTTTTTTTTAGCTTCAGTGTTGCCTCACCATCATGTGATATGCCGCAGGGAGCAATTCCATAAAATTTTGAACCAGGTTCTCATTGCAAAAATCAACCTGGATCATGATTTCCTGATCAAAGGAGAGAGAGAGAGCAAAGGACTGAATTCATATCATAGACAATGGATGTTTTTTCTTCTGGTCCATCAAGACTAGATTAATCTTGATTACTTTGATTAAGAGGCTTGTTATCTTTGTGCTGTTGGCCTGTGGTAAACCTATGTGTTTGGATGCACAGGTAAGGGTAGTCCAAAAGGGTTCAAGATGACTGACCTGATCCATCTCTGTAGAGTTTTTTCATTTGTCCTTTTGATTTGGTTTGAGGGGGAAAAGGTTTAGGATTCTACTCTTTATCAAACTCGCTGGAACAACACTGGGTCACTACACTACCAGTAACGGTAGTGTAGCGGTAAAGTAGCGTTTTTTTGTCACTAGCACTACTTTTCCTGTAGCGCAAATGCACTACATTATCTTTTTCTTTTTTTGCTGTTTTTTTTTTTTTGCTACTACACTATCACAGCGGCTGTTTTTTTGTATTTTTTTATTGCATTACAGTAGAGAGGAGATGACAAGAGAAAAATTACTATTAGGAAGACAAACCTAGGAGAGAGAAACATTAATATGAGCAAGTAAGATGAATAATAATTAATATTGGATGATATTAAATAATCTTGAAGATGATTTTTGTGAAGAATCAAGATGGATGGGGTTGGGGACAGAGGGCACAATTGATGGATGGCTGCTAGCAGGTTGGGACCCTTAATTCAATTACAAGGCTGGACAGTTTCCTCATCAGATTAGGGCTGTTTCACACCTGGATTGTGCAGTAACTCAATATCCAGGGGTGAAACCGTTACAAAATCAAATTTTGGTGCTCTCAAAAAGAGGGGCCCAGTTACGCTGCAGGATAGTGCAGTAGCGCACTATCCAAGGGTGAAACCATTAGACTATCTGTTTTTTTTGGGTTTCAGAAAAGGTTCCCACTACACTACAGCCCAGGAAAATTTTTTTTGGTTAGTGTAGTGGTAAAGTAGCAGCCAAGCAGCTGGGTGCACTACACTACTCAGATACACTGAATAACGCAGCGTAAAGTAGCGAGCCAGTGTTGGCTGGAAGAGCTAGCAGCACACCTCACTCCAGATTAAGACCCTCAAAAAAGAACAAGATCAAACCTTCCCAGAAAAACAACTCACATTACCTGTCTCTATGAATTTTTCTATTTCACCATATAATGGTAAATGGTGTGTAACTAATTCTTCAGCTGAGTGAGAGAAAAAAGAATGACATTTCTACGCTAGATCTCCAGAAATTTTTTCTTTTTTGAACAAAAATACATAACAATCTCTAAAATTTTGAACTGAAACCTCCAATAAGAATGCAGATTTTTTTTTTAAACAACTTGTCATTTTTAACAAGAAAGGAAAAGAAAAGAACATGAACCACTATTCTTTTAGAATTTCATAATGATGTTTCACCTGAAATGATAATCTTTATCTGCCAAATTGTCATGGTAAACATTGAGTAATTGAGGGGATTGATTGGTGTATCAGTGCTTCTTGGAATGGAATGGGTTAAGCCATGCAGGGTTGATTCATTGATCAATTTCTTGAACAACCTCTACACAAGAATATATATAACAAGCTTTAATAAATTTATGCACACATGAAAACTGGAATCAAATGATTGAAAATGAAAAAATAGAAATAAAAAATGAAATTGATCTCAAGGTTGATAATATTCCAAATGGAAACAATCATGAACTTCCTGAATTTTTTGGTGTTTTACAAGGGTAGAAAGTTGGAATTCAGTGTGAGACTGATAACTGGAAACAGGCAGTGCAAAATTATAATTGCTGTTTAGTTGAATTGAATTGAATGGAGACTGAGTTCAGCAAAATCCTTTTCTACTTATTGAATTTCACCTGAAGTTATGGTTTTGCTTGATTTTAAAAAATGCATGGTTGAATGATCTCATTTACAGATATTTCATCAAAAAGATTCTTTCAGTTCTTTATCTACACAACCCCTTTCAATATCTGCCTTGAATTTATTGATGTTATGATGATGTTTCATCCAAACAGATAAAAGTGGTTCTTTCTTCATCAAATAATAATCATTATTGAATTGAGAAGTTTTTGTGTTTAGTTCTTTCTTCAAGCTTTTAAATATTCTTGATATGTAAGCTGCATTTCTTTTTACATAATTTTGGTTGAGGACCTGCAAGAAGTAAAATTTAAAGCTCTGGATCATTTCATAAGATCCATATGCCCATGCATACGATAATGTAATTTGTTTTTTAGCTCTGAACTCTTTCAACAGATCATTTCTCATTGTCTCTTCTTCTGTTTCTTCTAAAATCCCTGAAATGTTCTGCTGAGTGAAATCCAATATTTGACAGATAGAAATAGAGAGATGCTCTTCTGATGATGTTAAACCTTTGATATAAATTACATCAATATGAAATAAAATCTGAAGAAGATTAATCAATCTTCTAATTTGCTCCTTGAGTTGGTCTCTTAAATCAAAGCTGGAATTGGTTGTGATTGGCCCTCTGTCATCAGACATGGGATTTGATTCATTTGAAATGATAATCAACTTCAAATTATCAACATATTCTTGAATTGAAAGAGAACGAATTGTTTTCACACCATCTTCAAGTGGACTCCTAATTTTGCTATATTGGTTGCCAAACTTTATTAATTTACCTGATAAGTAGTTGAGTGTGAGAAATCCTTCATCCATTTCACTTAAAACTGAAAAAAGAAAACAATGGATAAAGATTTGATATTTCAGTATGCAATCTATCTTTCAAATCAATATTACATGCCAATGAATGGGTTACCTGTGTATTCTTCAAGCATCATTGACCAATACCAGTGCTTGGTAATAGATTCAATCCCATCCCACAGTTTCTTCATATGAGATGAACTAACTTCACAGTTGTAAGAAGCATGTGTACAGTAAATGACTTGTCTTACAAATTCACTATCATTCAAATACACTAGTAGAGTTTGTTTACTGATAAACTTCTGTCTATTCAAGAAGTCCAATGTTTTTAAGAAGAATCTCCCTGTTGGACTAAACTGAGGCTCATTGACAGATTCAAGATGTTCAGTTATGAATTTGTAATTGATTGTCAATTTCTTTATGTCATCCAAAATTGAACAGCCAAAATTCTCCCAACTTCTCTTCAAAATCTCATCAACCATGTCTTTAGGAAAGCTAGTGATCCAGTCTGGTACTGCTTCACCTCTATCTTCCTTGAAACCAAATGAGGCAAGTATTCTTTGATTATTTGAAGATGAATGTAAAGCTCCCAATTCTAAGAGTCTGAAATCTATCAATAAATAGATCTTCTGTTTAGATTTCTCCAGAAGATGTGTTAGAGATTTACTTTTAATGTTTATCTTTTCAATTTGATCTTTTGTACAATAACGAGGTTGATTGCCTGGGCCCCATATTTCAGCAAAAGATACATGAATCAAATCATTGTTCAGTGAGCGGACTTGATCTTAAATAAATGATTTCCCCATCAGTACTTGTTCATTCCACATAAGCCCCAAGTAAAATAAAAAACTAACCAGTGCTCTTAGACCAAGCTTTCAATAATTGTAGGCCTGAAAGGAGTCTATTGATGAGTTTAATATTTTAATAAGAAAATTGGAGTATTGTTTACTGACGCTTCTTGTGGGTTAAATCCTTTAATAATAATGAGTCATTTATCAATTGAATAAAAAGGTATCTGTGTGAATCTACCTCTGGTAATTCACATCTACAGAAAACATTTGACTTTTGTTTAGAATTGGAGATCAGGGAATTATTCTCTTGTCCTCGAGAATAGTGTTGTTCCACATCCTTGGTCTTTTTGTGGTCTTGTTCAGGCAAACTTGGAAAAATACCTGATTTTTCTTTGTTGATGAAAAGATGATGTCAATTTTCAGTATTTTGGATAAATTGAGAAGGTGTTGAGGATCTCTTCTCTAGTTGGCAATCATTCTATATGAATAAGATATATATATATATATATAAAAGAATAAAACATATGCACACCTAGAAGTGAATGAACACCACTTTCCTCAACCTCTGGCTTGGTGATGAGCTGCATACAACAGGTAGATGTGATGAGGCTTATTGGAAGGTATGGGATGTGCATTTGATACAAATATTTCCTGAATTAAATTTTTGTATGTCTTGATGGTGAACAGATATGTTGAAGACTAAAAAAATCACAGCTTGTCATGTTTTAAATCTTTACAGCTACAGTACCATGGATAATCCCCACAAAATATAGATCAAACATGCCAGTAGATTTGTGGAAGTTACAAATAGTGATTCTGTTGGTTGTCTGAGCGTTTCAAAGTGATTGTGAAGTTTATTCAATAGTATGCATTATAATACAAGTTTTTAATCATCCCCTGAGGAGCCAAATAATTAGATGAAGTTCCCATCTTCTAAATTCAAAACAAGCACTAAAATTACCTGGGACCTATGTGCAATGTTGAAACTTGTATGATTAACAACTAAAAAAACTGAAGAGGGATGGGAGGATGAAGAATACATATGTGGTAAAGATGGGCCCAATTTGTTCTAACCAGGGAAAGGATGACTGGCTGGTTTGGGGGTATGCCAGCTGAGCTGGGAAAGACTCAAACTAATTTAAAATGGGTTGATCCCAACCAATGAAATATAAATCCAAGAACCTTTGGTTGACATCAACCCATTTTAATTGGTTCAGTGCATCCCAGATCAAGGGTGATAACCTAAGCCCATCCAATTATTCTAGAATTATCTACAAGGGGGTATCTACATATAACTAAAAAAACAGCCTCAGAGGGCCAAACAAACCGTCAACCTTCAATAGGTATTTCTATTGTTACTCATGCGGCTTCTAACGCCAGCGTTGATGTTGCACATTTCAATGTCATTTCCAACATAAGACTTTACAAAAGCGAAGGCTATTACACCATAGGACCTTTAAACAAGTAAAACCCCCAACATCCGGGGAAAAAACAAGCAGCCTCCCCAAATTTGGGGGCATATACTAGTCAAATATAAGAAATCCACCATTAGAAACCAGTTAATTTTCCAAAAGGATTTTTTTTCACCAATGGGTCCCCAAAGGGGGAAGATGAAGAACTAGCACTTTTTGAGAATGGTGGATTTTCCAGAACCAGTCAATTAAATAATGGTGGATTTGGTTATATTTGATACCCCCTATGGGTGTTCTGGGGAGAGCAGGTGAGGGATCTTCTGGGTTCTGAGTCTTGATGGTAGATTGCAAGATGAGGAATGTACAAGGTTTGGATCTTGAACAAACTCCAAGTTTGAAGTTTGTGACATGTACGTAACAGGCTCTCTACATATGTAATGTCCCCAGTTCCAGTCCTCCACAGCTCATAACATTAGCACACAGCCAAATTCCACTATATACACTATGCTAAATTTTAGCGGAATTTTGCTGCATTATGCTACACTAACACTATGGTTAGTGTAATTGGCCCACTGTTGTCACAGGGAAGAAACTGAAACTCAACAAGTATGAACCAAGACTCTCTCCTACTGCTTTCTTTAGCTTGCAGACACCCCCCTTGCATTTCAGGCTGGACAACCCCTTCCAAGCTTGGTTTTAGAACTACCACCCCCTCTCCCCTCATGTGCAAAGGTGGTGTATTCTAGATACATAAACACTTTGTGAGATGTGTGGGGTCAAGACTTTCCCAGCTGAGGAGTGTGGATGCTCTCGGTTTGGATGTTGTTGTTGTTCTGGAGCTCGGGGACTCGGGGATCAGGGCGGGAGAGGGTGACCCGAAGCGGAGCCACCTGAGCGGCCGTCCTCTTGGTTCTGTTCCGTTCTTTTCCTCAGAAAGTTGAAACCAATACCGAACCGAAGTTGAACCAGAACGAGATGGCAGGGACAACTACTGGCGAGAGTCCAAGGAACGAGACTAGGATCGAGACCGATGAACTGATCGAACTGGAGATGACCATCAACAACGAAGAAGAAGATGGAGATGGAGATGGAGATGGGGGAGAAGGAGAAGAACAAGATACTAGCAACCAACAACTCGTCAAGCCACCAAGAAGACCACCCACATTCGAGGCAGCCTTCAGTCAAGCCAGATCACTCACCAACCATGGCAGGGTAAACTACCAGCAGGCACTCATCAACAATAACCACTCAAGCAGAGGATCACTCGACAGTCTGGCACTACTACCACCACCACCACCACCACCAGCCCAAGCAGAGAACAACCTACAATCACTACGACCAACTAATAGCAGCATCGAACAACTCCATCTCACTCTCCCTGGCCAGCACGACCCAGATACTCACTTCCTCACCAGTCTCGTCGACTCAGAAACAACAGCCGACCAACTCATCTTCAGCCCTCATCATCAGCAACTCTCACTCTCACCACCAACCGACTCACTCCTACCCATCCCACGCAGCCCATCACCCCTCCTGGATGAACCTAACTCCAGTCCACCGGGACTCTACGGTAGCAGTCCTCCACCCGACCGATCACCATCCCATGAGAGCCCTCCCCCGAGCCCACCAGCACCCAGGACGGTCCGCGTCTCCCCTCCCAAGAACCCCACTGGACCACCCCGGCCACCCCCACTCAAACTATGTCTACCCCCTCGCCCCCGTCGTCCGGCCATCGAAACCTCGCAAACCCCGTACAACTCACCCGCCGGCTCGAACCCATCCACACCACTAATTAGCACATCCAATCTCAGACCGGTTTCTAACCAATCCAACCTACTTAAACGTACCTTGCCATCTTCCTCAACAGACCAACATCAAAACCAAAACCAAAACCAAAACCAAACAACGACAGCCAAGAAACAGAAAATCAATCCCCTCTTCCTCGTCTCCTCTACCTCTAAAACCCCAGCCGAAAACGAGAAACTTAAGGCCTGGAAACGTATCCAATTGCTTCGCGCTCAACGTGATCAGCCTCAACATCTTTCTTCTTCTGGCTCTACTTCGAAAAACTCAGAGGAACTCGAACGGCTAGAGAAATCGACAAATAGCAACTCATTAGGAGACACCCTGTACGTCCTTCTTTTTCTCTAATTCCTCTCTATCCTTTTTTTTTTCTTGTAAGGATAGACAAAAACAAAGCAAATTTTCACACAAGTGATTCACGATGGTCTCTTTTCTTTTTCGAAGATCTAGTGCGATCCAATTAAGAAATCAAGCCCAAGAGTATCTCGACTTGATCCAGAAGACACAAGATGCACTAGGGGAAGAATTAGTACGAGTGCAATTGGAGGAGAGTGTTTTAAGACACGTCCGAGGGATCATCGCCGTCAGTCTCTCTCTCTCTCCTTCTTCTTTGACTATTCGCAGTATGGAGTGTGGCTGATTCTTTGCTCCATATGTTAGGACCGATTGATCAAGAATCAGGAATGGAACAACCAAAACTCATAGACTAAGACTACATTTTTACTCTGTCGCTCCGTCTCGTCTTTCATCGATCCCATGTATCATTGGCCTTCCTCTTTCACTCAATCGTACATGTATAACTTCAAATTTCCTAATCCATCAATCTCCGCTTTATTATTATTACTAATTATCTACCCATACAATTCGCCCCCCGCCCCCACTCCCTCCCAATATATGAAGAGGGTCTGTGAGTGACTTAAATCCCAAGGGTACCTGTGACTTGCGGTCCACATCATAAAACCATTCTTGTATTCCTGGTTGTTAGACTGGTACATCATGTTTCAAAAAAATTAATCCAATTGACCCAGACAAAATCACAACAATGAAATAAAAAGAATCATGTTTGATAACTTTGATGATCAAGAAGGAATGATTTTTATTCATCTTTCAGCTCAAGGCTCTGTGACCGTTTTTGATCTTTTTGAGATAATTGGTTGATGTTTGAATCTCTTCAGCTACAAACCCTAAATTGACTTGCACAACTAAAGAAGTGATCTCCTCAAACAATTTCAAGTTGAGAGCGGGTGAGCTGTGTTCTGTCTTTAACTTGTAATATGTTTGTTGTAATGCAGGAACTGCTATGTTCAAGTTCACCTTACACCTTTTGAGATCTGTCAAGAAATCCAAATGAGAATCTGTTTTGTATGCCTTGATCCTGTTTTGATTCAATGAACTGTTATAACTTTTCAGTGTTTTGTATAGATCATAAACTTTTAAAGATTCCATGATCAATTTTTTACTCAATCTGTACTCCTCTAATTTATTCTGTGGAATTATCCTTTTTTCAACTTCTTCTACAATCCCACCAATATTATAGTCAATCTTGGTAAAGTTCAAAATGTGGCAGATAGAAATAGAAAGAAGACCTTCATAGAAAGAGGATCTACTTTCACAAACTTCATTGGGATAAAACAGAAGCTGAAGTATCTCAGTTAGGTTGGTAACACCATCCTCAATCTTTTTTGTTAAGTCATGATTGGTGCCCATTTGGAACCTAGGTTCATCACTAGATGTTCTAATCTGATTTGATCCATGAAGGAGTTTTTGCAAGTTATCACTATATTCTTGAATTGAAGTTGGATGGAATTTTTGATGCCATTCTGTGGGTGTATTTGAAAGTGTGATAGATATGTCTGCAAGTGTCAACATTGTTGCTGTTATAGAATGGAGGTTTAGAATGTTTTGTTCTATGGTATCAAAATCTATTTTTAATCATATGATAAAAATCCAAAAGTCAATTTTTCCTGCAGATCACTATGCAAGAAAGAGAAAAAGTTTACCTTTGAAAACTCCATCTTTTACTGGCCTGTACCAGTGATTGAGAATAGAGTCCAATTGATACCACATGTACATTATTTTTCTTTCGCTATATATGCTTTCTTGTCTATACCAATCCAACGCACATTTTAAAACTTCCCTGATCAACTGTTTATCCTGCACAAAGTGTAGCACCGTCTTTTCACCAAATATCTCATCATTGTAAAGCAAGGCCGCAAATTTGAGGAAGTATTTCCCTGCTGGAACACTACTTGTGTCATACAATTCAAGATCCATCATTTCAGACTTATGATTGATCATTATCATCTTGATATCCTCCAGGATTGAGCACCCAAATGTTTCCCAAGTGCTCTTCATAATATCTTCAACCAAGTAGTCAGGAATATCACTCGGAATCCTTCGTATTGATTCTTGATCATTTTCATGTTTTTCCAAGCCAAGGGATGCAATTATCCTTTGGTGATTTTTGGATGAGTACAAGCCTCCTAAACTCATAAGTCTAACATCTTTCAAAATCAAAACCTTCTCTTGTAATTTTTCAAAAAGACCTCTTTTGGGTTTGGTTTTAATCTCAGTATTATCATGTACATCTTTTGTGTGAAAGTGAGGGGCATACCTTTTCTGGATTTGCATACCCAACATTTCTTGCCAATCCTTATCAAGTGAGATCATTTGATCTGATAATTTGGATGTGAATTTTCCCAATCAGCTCCAATCTCTAAACTCCAAGTACCTTGAAAGAACTAAACTTACCATGATTTCTTTCCCAAAATTTGGATAAGATCACAGCTGAGAACACAAGCTTTATCAGCCAAATCACCAGATCACAAACAAGTTAAACGGCAGAATGGATATTCTTACTGACCCTTCTTGGGGTGCAAATACTTCAATAGATGTGAATCCTGGATCAACTTTTGAAACACAGATCTGCAAGTATCTCTGGGCTGACAAACACAATTGAAATCTGGACTTGGCACATAGTGAGCAATCTGCTGTCTTTTTGACGCACTTTGATCAACATCAGAATTCAAGCCTTGAAAGTTGGAAGAAATTGTTATCTTTTGTCCTTCAGGGTCTATTTCTTCCACAACATCAGCACCCAATCTTTGATAGTGTGGAGTGGAATTGGAATCCAGGTCTACAAAAAAAGGTTTAGTATAACCAATATTTATTTAAAAAAATTCCTCTTCAGTGTTGTTTCCATATTTTTAATGAATTTATGCCCACCCTGAATGGCTCCATATTCCTTTTTATCTACCACTGGCTTTATAATGTCCTTCCTACACCAGGAAGTTGTAAATAGACCAATAAGCAAGTATTGTATTTGCATCTTATCATGGGGTTTGATGATTGGTTGAAATTAACAAATTTTTCTGAGTTGAATTTGAAGGATACATGGGTAGTAAACAAGCCAGTTTGAGATCTGCTAAAATCTCATTCCAAGGCAGTGTGGTGTATTTCTGAAACTTACCACCAATACAGATTGAATAATTTCTGAGACTTGCATCAGAGTTTCACACAACATGCAACCTTCTTGCTACATAAACCCAGATATGAAGCCACAAATTTTTTGGCTCTCTCAGTTGTACCTGCAGGTGTCAGCTATGTTAATCCAGCAGTTGTGTTTGGATATCAGTTTTTTTGCTGCAGGTCTAGACCCAAAGTATCACTAGATTGGTTCTAGAAAGCAACTGCTATGTACCAGTTGAAATGTAAAAAGCTCTGATCAAAACTTAAAGGAAACAGGGGTAATTATGTTTACATAGTTTGTAGTACCACCCTGAGGTGTCAAAGGGGTGGACCAGAAGATTGTAGAATGAAAGCTGGAGTTGAAATCAAGTTTGATCAGCACATCTTGCTAGTCAAATACCCCCAGTTAATTAACTTTTCATTGTATTTTATCTCCATCTGCTTATAGGATTTGGAAGGCCAACTCAGCTGAATTCAAATCCATCAAGATTTCAATGGTTAATAAAAACAATCTAGCCTCCTAACACAACTGATCTTGCTCAATGATAGGCATGGCCCAAATTGATGTGCCACAATAATATTTTGTGGATGGTTTGACTGTGATCAAAAAGCTAACCAGTGAGGTAGACATACAGAAATATCATATCCTGATTTTGATTGGCTGAAAGGGGAAGGCAAAAGACTCAAGAGAAAAACTTAAGGTTGAAGAGCCCAAAAAGGGGCTAAGAGCTGCTAGTGTGTTGCAGAAAAGCACTCAAGCTACATGTGGTTGTATCTTGTAGTGACCATGGGAAACGGTTTGCAGAGGACTGATGATTCTCATTTTCTAACTCAGAGATCATGAATATTTATCTACTTTAAAGTTATGGTTGAGTTGTGGGATAGAAGGTGAAGAAGCATATTCATCTGGAAATGAGTGAAAAGTGAATGACAGATGAGGAAGAGTGACACTTGTGTGACAGAAAAAAAAGGACAAGACACAATGACAGCTAGATTCCAACAGTTTCACATCAAGGTATCCTAGCTAAGTGCACAAATGTAACTAGTCTCACCTCTCTCCCTTCAACTAGACAGAAGATCCTTTCTTTCTACTGGAGGACTTCCCATCATGATTTAGAATGATTTTTAGACCTCCCTCAGTCCTAAATTAACAACAGGATTAAGATTTCAACCAGCTCACATGAGAGCTGTTTCTGGAAGGCTTCAGAAAAAATATTTTTCTTTATGAAAAAAAAAAATAGATCTAAGGGGTGTACAGTCAAACCTCTCAAACCACATACCCCTTGGTGGAAAGAGTTTGTTGAGATCAGTTCCATTTTAAATGTGCTACTCAAATTCAAAATCAGGAATTTGGGATATCCAGAAAGCTTGTTAAACCCCAAGTAAAATCTGAAAAAATGTAGCAATGGTGGGCCATTAGTGATGTCTGTATCAGTAACACATCATAAAGTATTAAAATATTTGTTACTATATGCACCCATGGGTGTATTGACTCTGTGGGTGGTCAATCATGGAGGGTGCCTGTAACACATTGTAAAACATTAGGGGGTATCACCAGTCACTTTTCTCAAAATTCTTTTTTTGCATCAATGGGCCCCAAAAGGGGTAAAATTAATAACCAACATGTTTCAAAAAGGGTGGATTTTTTCAAACCAGTCAATTAAATCATGGTGGATTTGGTTATATTTGATACCGCCTATTGAAACGTATTGAAACTTTGATAAATTCTGATAATAATAAATAACAAATTAAAGAAAGTTGGCCAATACGTTACATATATGGGGCAATATATTGTAACATAAAGGATTGGCCCACTGTTGAATGTAGGATCCAGTCATAAAATGGTAGGATAATGGCATGACACCTGTGGATTGTTCTTGATTTGAATGGCCAAAATACTATCCTGGAAGCTTCTCAACACAAGAAAAAATTACAAAAGTTTCCATCTGCAATATCATTTTAGGGTTTTCTCTCCCATCATTTTTCTCAAGCCCCAGTTGTTTGATCAAGAAGACTTGCAAAACATACATGTTTCCAGCCTGGATGTTATATGGAAAACCATTCTTTTAACATAAGAAATTCAAAGAAAATTCAAAGAAAAACATGAAAATACAAGGGATGGAGATGGGTAAACAAAATCAAGAAAATCTAGCAAAGGCAGGGGCAAGTATACGATGTTTGGGAAGTGGAAGGAAGAATGAAAATTCACCAATAAAGATAATAAAAAGAGACTCTTTAAAGATTTCAAGTATCCTGATCAAAGAGGGAAGAATGAAAGATAAGGATACATAAAACGAAAAAAACATGTTACATTACACCTCCAGAAGCCCTGGCAGAGTTGAGGGTATGCTAGTGAATTTTGGATTCAATCAACCAAGTTACCAATTTTAGATGATCTGAGACTGAACCGATTCAAATTTCATTGGTTCAGCTCAACCAATGTTGAATAGGTTGAGTACATGCCAGATAAACTAGGATACCCAGGACTTATCTATTTTTTTTTCTGTCAGTTTGAGGAGAGCTTTTGATGAAATGGATTTTCTGTTGCAAATATCCCTCCATTTTATACTCTGAATATGATGAATTATTCGAGGAAATTTCTTGTACTTGGGAAGGGGGTGATCATTCTTCCTATTTCAATTCACTAATCTAGTATCATTTTTGAGAATTTTGAGATGATTGATAGAATTTTCAATCTCCTGAGCCAGATTTCCCTGTTCCACCTGGATAACTAAAGCAGAAATTTCCAGAAACAATTCCAAGCTGAAAGCGGGCAAATGGTGTTCTGCATTCAACTTATAGTATGTGCTTTGTAATACAGGTATCGTTGTGCTCAATGTTTCCTGGTACCTTTCCATAGCTTTGAAAAAATCAACCAGATGATCTCTTTCATAATTCTTGACTCTATTCTGTATTGTTGAAGTGTTGAAAGATTTGAGCATGATGTACAATGCAAATACCTTTGAAGCATTCATGATCAATTTTTTACTCAATCTGTACTCCTCCAATTGGTTTGATGGAATTATATTTCTTTCGATTTCCCCTACAATCCCATTGCAGTTCATTTCAGTGTAGGTCAAAACTTGACAGATTGAAATAGAGAGAAGACCTTCATAAAAAGAAGAGTTGTTTGAAAATTCATTGGGATAAAGCAGACTCTGGAGTATTTCAGTTAATCTTCCAACACCATCTGCAACCTTGTTTCTTGCATTGTGATTGGGGTCTGTTTGAGGCTTCCTTGTATCATCAAAACCAGCAGTTTTATCCAATCTGTTTAGGAGCTCTTGTAAATTATTGCCGTACTCTTGAACTGAAACTGAGCTGATTTTTTGATGCCATTCTTTAGGTGTGTTTGAACGTGTGATAGATATGTCTCCAAATCTCAACATTTTGGCTACTACAGAATGAAGTGTTACAATCCTTTTTTCTATCGTATCAAAACCTATGGTAATAATGTGATAAAATGAAACAATTGATTTCAATTTTTTTTCCCATTCAGAATTTTGAAAAATGGAGCCTCTTACCTTTGAAGAACCCATGGGTTATTGGCCTGTACCAGCTGTTAAAAATAGATTCCAATTTATAACACATGTACATGATGTGTGTTTCAGTATAGGTGGCTTCTTGTCTATATGAATCCAATGCACATTCAAACACTTCCTTGGTTAATTCCTTATCATGGATAAAATTTAGTACAGTCTTTTCACCAATGAGCTTCTCTTTGGAAAAGAAAGCCACTAATTTGAGGAAGTATTTCCCTGCTGGAACATGACTTGTGTCATAGAATTCAAGATGCATCATTTCAGTTTTATGATTGATCATTATGTCCTTCATTTCTTCAAGAATTGAGCCAGTAAATTTCTCCCAAGTAATGCTCATAATATCATCAAGCAGGTGTTCTGGAAAATCATTTATTCTATGTGGTAATCGTTTGGTTTCCTTGCTTTCTAAGTCTAGTGATTCAATTATCATCTTCTGGATTTTAGTGGAATACAAACCTCCAAACTTCATAAGCTTTACATCTCTCAAAGCAGAAATCTTCTCTTTCAATTTCTCATAAAGATCTCTTGTAGGTTTGGTTTTTTTTTCAATATCTTCTGGTAGATATTGTAGAGAAGAGGCATCCTTCTTTTTCCGAAGTTGGACACCCAAAATTTCTTCCCAATCCTTATCAAGTGATAGGACTTGATCTAACCATTGAGATGTGATTTCCTCAGTCAGATCATTTTTATTAATTCCAAGAAACATCAAAACACCCTACTTACCATGATTCCTTTCCCAACATTTTGATAATATTAAAGCTGTGGAAATAATCTTTGTCAGCCAAATCACCACATTATCAAACACTAGTAGGATTGTAGACTGGAATGGTTTACTGACCCTTTCTAGGGTGTAAATACTTCAATAGATGTGAATCCTGGATCAATCTCTGAAACACAGATCTGCAATGACCTCTGGGCTGACAAGCACAATTGAAATTTGGACGTTGCACATATTGAGCAATCTGCGCCTGTCTTTGTGAATCACTTTGTTCCACATTATAATTCAAGCCTTGATAGTCTGGAGAATGGGTGAGCTTTGGGATTTTGGAAGCTCTTTCTTCCACAACATTGGTTGCGAATCCTTGATACTGTTGAGTGGAACTTGAAGCCAGGTCTACCAACGTTTTTTTAGCATGAAAAAGCAAATATGTATCAGAAAGAATCAGTAACGAGTGGAAGATTCCTATTCAGTTGAAATTATATCTGTTGATAGGAATCATGCGCACCCTCAATCGCTTTAGAATCACTTTCCTCCACCTCTGGCTTGATGATGACCTTCATACACCAAGCAGTCGTGACAAGACCGATGAGCAAGATTTTGGCACGCATTTTATCAAGGAATACAATGATTCAAGTGAAGTTCGGGAAATTGCGGAGGTTGAAAGATACACGGGGAGCGAACAAGCCAGTCTAGCCACCGTTTATATTTTCAACCGCAGTCATGGGGCAGTAATATGGTGTCTGTTTGCAACTTACTCCTGAGACTCATCACGCAGATTTTAAGATTTGCCTCACAGTGTCATAGCAGTAAGCATGTATCTTGACCTCGACGTCTAGCTGAAGAAGCTCTCAAGACAACATACTCAAGAAAAAAACTAGCCTTCCAACTCTAGCGAGTTTTAGCCAGACTTGGACATATACCTAACATAGCTAATTCTCTACCTCCTTGCGCGGAGTGGCTCAGCATTTGTTTATTATGTTGTCGCATTGTGCCGTTTACCACGCAATGTACTTTGCAAGATCATTTTCCTTTGTCGAATGGGGTCGGGCTTACAACACGTGTTTAGATACATGATGCACTCGTTAGATAAGCGAAACAAAACCTCCTTCCCTGGCTTTTAATAGAGGCAAAGTCTAACACTTGTGGAGGAAAACCCCATGAATTGCTGGTACTACACTTTTAAAGACCCTATCTAACAATAAATATCAGTTGATCGCGAGGATATGCGTGCATGAAGAAATAATGGGAAAAAGTATGCCGATGATGCTGATGCTGATGATGCAGATGCTGAAAGCACCAGTGATAATTATAACCAACGAAAGTCCGAAGGGAAAAGTGGGGAAGGGGAGAGGGGGAAAAATGGATGGGGGGACTACCATTGGACTGCGAACCCGTTAGATTCGGGTTCGACGGCCCTATAGGAGGTCAGGAAGGTCCTATCTCTGGACGCCTGGTCAGATAGAAAGCCCCAAGAGTCTAGCCATGAAAGGATAAATGTGTGTTCATGGGAATCGAGCAGGTCTGCAGCCTGGAGGGTGTCCACCAAGTCGGCCTGCTGGTCGTTGGCGACCGCCTTGAGCTGCTGAGCTTCCTCGGGGGAACAGGAGGGAGAGGAGGACTGGAAGTAGACTTGTTCGAGCTTGGCGATCAATTGTTTGTTTGTAGGTGCGGATGAAGATGGACCGGGTTGGGAACCGAACGGGATCTGTCCTCCCCCATTGACGCAGCCGGAGGGACAGGCCATGACCTCGACAAAGTCATAAGTCCGGTCAGCCTCCTTCGCGGCTTCCACGCCCTGGTCCTTCCGACGTCGCCCCATGATCCGGGCCCTCGGGTTCGTTGTTGAAGAGGACGAGGGTGGGGCAATCTTGCGAATCAGGTTCTGAAGGTTTTTGAACCCGTAGAAGAGGGCACCGTAAAACAACGTTTCCGGTTCCTGTGTCGGAATGTCTTGAATATCTTGGGAAGAAGAAGCATGGGCGAGTTGTAGCCGGTACTCGACGTAATCTGATCCTCGTTTTCGGTCAACAGTCAGCCTCAGCCGATCGATAATATTTCCCCGGTCTGTGGGGACGCTAGCCCTTAGGAGGTTGAAGAGGTATCCACCACTGCTTGATCCAATGGGTGGAGGATGATCGATCCAGATCGGAATGCCGACTTGACTGTCGAGTGTCTGTCCGGATTCCTCAGTTTCTTGAGCTGCCTGGAGAATATCGAAACCGTCTTCCTGGATCATTTCCTGTACCTCCCGGGTCGTCAACACGCAATCGACATCCTTAATCCCCTCATCGCTCTGGAAATCTGATCGACTGGCCTCGAGCTTTTTATCGTAGCAGGACATCACACAGACGTGGTAGATCGGCTCAGCCGATCCAAGTCCGACTGATTCGGCAAAGCGTGGGCTCTTCAGCAGGGAGCCCTGGATCTGCTGAGCGGATTTCACCCGACTGATCATCTCCAAGATTCCGTTCTTCCCCTGGGTCTTCTCCGCATAACAGATCCATGCCGGACAGCTACTCGCTAGGAGTGGGGCCTTGCCGCCAGAGACTTTGGCTTCTTTCTGTCGCCTTCTGTGTTCCTTGAATTCTCTCTGACTCTCCAACAGATGTAGGCGCTGCGAAAAGCTGGTATCGAGGACGAGTGCAAAGTTGTGTGAACGGGTGAAATATTTCTTCAGGACTTTGAATCCAGTTGATAGAGAGTCTAGTTGATTGTAAGCAACAAACGAAGCCAGCGAATGCGAAGAGATCGATACGATCGGATAGCGGTTTGGTTGTTGGATCTCCTTGCGTACTTCCAAGACCGATTGAAGGGAGACGAGAATAGATTCTGATGAAGTTATACATCCACTGTGAGAGGAGAGCGAGTCAGTGGATCTTGTTGGATGCATCTGAGTATCTGACTCCATGGACTGACCTACAAGCCAAACAGTCATTCAGAGTGATTTGTGCCTTGGGGAGAGACTCTGTGACTTTTGTCGATGGTGGTGGATGGTCATCGAGTAAGATTTGAGTTTTTGAAAGCGATGGTTGCTGTTGTTCTTGAGTAGTTGGTATGTTTGGTTTTGTGCATAGTTGGGATGGTCCGAGGTAGTCGTTGAGGTCGATGAGGTTGAGAGAATGAGAGAATGAGTTTGATGATGTGGTTGCTGGCATGTTGTCCTGGATGAATATTGGGGTTTTGGCGCTGGCTGAAGATTTTATGATTTGTTTCTCATCAATGACCGACCGACCGGATCGGGGATCAGCCGGTACGCGAAATCCGCCACGGCCTCGGACCGCACGCGGATACTGTGAGGAGAGATCGGATATCCCCGCATCCTATGCTTTGGGACATATCACACGATTCATGTGCTTTTGCTTCCTTTGCTTCCTCAGCCTGCTTCTGAGCACAAGGCAGGGCAACTGTGCAACATCACAGGAAAGATGAAGGAAAAAAAAAACTCAGAGCATGCAAAGAAAAGGCCAAGAGCACACTATTGAAAGCCGGGAGACCGTGTGGTTATATTGGAGATCAATCGTTGTTTGCTGAGGGCTACTTGGAGACATCACATTACAATACTTTTTTACTTCAGTTGGCTGCAGTAGGTATTGTTGTAGGTACCAAACATGGCAGTCATTCCTTTTATTCATGGTGGGTAAACCGAACAACAATGTATGCATACAAAAAAAAGGTAGCTATTCTCTCAAAGCAAGGCGATCAGAAGGTTGACGGCTTTGGGTTCATGATTAAGACCGATGCAGCTAATTATTCCTAAGAGCAACAAGTTCCAGGGAGCGGAGCGCTCTTGCAAGGACAGCTTGAGCAGCTACAAGTTTTGCCTGCAGCGGCACATGAGCATCGGTCGGGAGAGCTGTTGGAACAAAGAGATAGGTGGTGGAGTTAAAATCGAATATGAACGAATTTGGTGATCAAAAGAGGCTTCATTGTGACTTACTCGAGAGGCAAGACGGATGAACTGCAGCCGCAGCCGGTCTCCTTGTTGCAGCTGCAATCTGAGAGACTTCCTGAGGAGCACGGCTAGGAAAAAGTTCAACAACATGGTTAGACATTCATCTTAGGTTGTCGAGCTCGGCAGAGTTGGTCAAGAGATGTCCTGTATACTCACCTGGCAGGTGCACGAGCGGATGTGGCCGTTGGCCAACTTGACATCGGGACAACCGCCTAAAGTCCAAAGAAGAAGCAAATTAACAAAAGTCAGATAGGCTACCTGAGCAAGACTCCTCTGTGAAGAGAGTAGGAAAAGAGACTAACAGGCAGGCATGGTCGAGTTGTTTGGGGTGCTTTTTTTGTGTGTGGTGGTTGGATTGTTAGGGGCGGAGTGCAAGTACAACTGGGTTGAAGTGGGTTGGGTTGAGGGAGGTGATGGGTTGAGGAGAGACAAGTCGAGTTTAAATACCCGAAGGAGCGCTGCGATGCCCTGACAACTCAAACCAGCTGGATATATGCGGCTTCAAGTGAATCTATCTGAGCCCAATTCGCCGGCGAAAATAGCGCACTGCGTATGAACCCTCGGCTGCCACGTTGGGGTGGAGAAGATTCGCTCCTCCTCGGTTATCTTGAGACTTACGTAAGATCGATGAAGTGCAAAATCACCACAGGGTCTGAACCAATCCAAATTACCCGATGAGTGAATTTCGCCGGCGATAATTAAAGCCTCAGCGATGCCCTGTATTAAAGGTGTGACCCGGGTGTTCGGGCGGGGTGTCAAGGCAATCCCGACGCCCGTATCCGATTTTGATCGGGTGGACCCGGGTCCACCCGTTTTTTTTTGGAGTTGAGATTCAGGGGAGAATCTGAGAGGGCATAGCCTCGTACATACCTCATTTAACCCTGTACCAGTCCAGCATCATGATGAGGAAGCAAAATCTGCCTCAACCCACCCTGATCGCAACGACTCCGGCTCCCACTCCAGTAAAAATATCAAAATTGAAAGGGGGTTTAACTCGTTCCTCCTCTCAAGTGCATACTTTGATAGGTACAACATCATGTCCAAGCCGACTGCAGATCATTCCTCCACTCAGGTACATGGAGAATGACTTTGTGACATTGAGTCCAAGCCAAAAAACAAGCTCATACCTCCCATCAACCCATATTGCACTACCACCCGGGTGTTCGGGTGGGTCCAGAGACCCACCCCGAGGACCGACACCCGGGTGGCACCACCCGTGAAAACACCCGGGTGGCGTCTTTCGGGTTACACCTTTACCCTGTATGTACCAGCAAACCCTTTAAAACACCTCACATGACTTTCGCCGCACATGTCTGGTAGTTGGTAGCACAGGGCAAGCCTGGGTGGTAAGCGGATTTCGCCACCGCAGGCCAGGCCACCGCATGTCCAGAAAATTCAAGGCATACACTCACCCAGGGAGCTGCCGAACCGTCTCAGAATGATTCAGAGCGAGCGGTTTTTGCCGGGCATATTACAGGCTCATGCCTCACAAAGTACAGACGTCGTTTGCTGACGTCAGTTTTAATGATCACTGATCAAGCCGCCGTCTCAACACTCCGTCCTTATAACCTCTAATGCTGTTCCGCCCTGTGGCGTGACACTGTCCAGTCGATTCACTGTTCAGACCAGGATCGTATTCATGATCCAAAGCTTTCATCACAAAAGGCAGATTTGGCTTCGGATTGGGACAGGGTGTGATCAGTTGAATATAATTGTGGGATTGCTCATACTAAACGGAGCTTCCTTGCAAGTTCTATCACCTTCAAGTTCTGATGACGGAGCCAAGATTAACTAATTGGGGGACACCATTGCTACCCAGAAACCTAGCAAGTTGTTTGTGGCATGCAGAGGTTGCAGGTTTGAATCCAGCTGGCTGTCCAACCCCCTCAGATGTTACCTTTGTCTGTTGACAGTCTCAAATGTGAAAGTATACACCCTGTCAGCTAACAGCAAGGTTATAGAGCACATTGTACATTACAGGGTCATTGTATACTTACTTAGCACTAGTATCGCTATAGTGTACAATGTCAGATCAATCAACACTAAGAAAAAAGCTCAGATGAAATCGGTTATGGTTGAGCTTGAGACTTTTGATTTCAAAAATTGGCAGTACATGAGCCCCCATCATGTCAGGATGCCCAACCAGTCACCAAATTATTATAAAAAGTAAGTCTGAGAAATAATCTGGCAGGTATTTTCAACGGGGTTGCATCCCAGCGCTTAGTAACTCAAACCCCAAACTCATCCTCTACAAACATTGTCATCTGTATGAAAATGTTATGTATTTCTTCTCCAGTCAGTATTCAATGCCTCCATCTCAACACTTGCAAACTGTACATGATCCTTTTTGTGATGGCATTGCAATTTTTTTATCCAAAGAAATTGAACCAAAATGTGAAAGACTTGAGCAATTAGGCTCAAATAAACAAAGCAAAAAGCAATTCCATCAAAATAAGGAATTTTTGGAATTTCCTGGTCAAGCAAGATTGTTGAGGAGGAGGAGGAAGAAACATTGTTGGAATTTTGTCTCCTTCTCCTCATCCCTAAAAAATCTATCTATCTCCCCTTTCTGATTTAATAATGTTTAGATGAAAAAAGTTATTAATTTTATCATGTCTTGTAAGTTTCTGAGTGGCACATTTTCTCATTGTCTAGTGCTGCAATCCCTTTAGTCTTCGAACCTGGGTCTAGTCTTTATCATTGAGTATTTGCTCCTGTCATCTTTTCATGCATGTGTTAAATTTTTATTCATTTCTCTATTTCATTTTACTCTCACCCACATGTTTAACCTCTTGTATGTAGACTACTTAACGCCTAGTCTCCTCTAAGTAAAACATCATCGGTTCTCTCCTTCATTTTGCGACCCTTTGAGCCGTTCCAACAAAATTCAATCTTGTTGTCCAAAAATTCTCTCCTCCAAAAATTTCCCTTCTCAGGTCTTAATTTCTTCAAACATTAAAAATGATTCCAAAGAAAATATATTAGGAGGAGCTATTGAGTTTGAGTAAGTTTGAATTTTGAGTTGATTTAACTCAATTGATATCATAAATACATGATCATTCTCCATTTTTCAATTGACTAATCTGGTCTCATTGTTGATAATGATATTGCTGAAAAATGAAGATGCTTTCTGAATTTGCCTATCCACATCACCTTGTTCCACTCTCCAATTGAAAAGAGCCATCTTGTCTAGAATTGTTGATCCAAACACTGATCTGCTCTCTAATGCATGGGAATTATATTGTTTTTGAAATTCAGGAATCATTGTGCTCAATTTCTCCTTATAACTTTCAACAGTCTTTGAAAAATAACTTTCCATGTTTGTTGTGTGACAGAGTTCTATGTTTTTACTTAAGAAATTGTTAAGACTTTCCAGAAGTTTATAATTTCCAAAGATCTCTGAGTAGCACAGGATTACAGCTAAACCGAAAAAGCTTGCGGGCTGTCGAGTCGGAATATCCAAAAAAAAAAAAAAAAAAAAAAACTGCAATTGGAATGTTAGGAAGAATACAGACAAGAATACAGGCTGCCGTATACCTGCCAGCAGCACCGGTGGGACCTGACCGGCCCCCCAGGGGGATGCCTCAGCAGCAGCCATCAGCGGGTAAGGGAAGGCCGTTGGAGTGAACTTTGCATCAGGATTCCGATGGTGTTACTCTCATCACCTGAAAATGAGAGAACAAAAAGATAGCAAATTCAACCCAACATGATGCATCCATACATGAACCTGTATTCTTCCAAAACTTCCAGCTGTAGTCGGTAGATTTTTTTATTTTTTTTTATTTTCTGACTTCGGAGCCCGCAAGCTTTCTCGTTATAGCTGTAACTTCTTCTTGGATCTGTACTCCTTCAATCTGTCACATGGTATAATCATTTCTTCCATTTCTTTTACAATCCCTTTGCAGTTCATTTCAGTAAAATTCAGCATTTGACACATGGAAGTAAAACTAAGGTTTTGAAATGAGTGATATTTATTATATTTAGGGACTTAGTCAAACGACTCCCAAAATTTGGAGTTCCGACTCCCAAATTTTGGGGACGTCCTGAGGACTGTCTGCGGACGGTCCTCCGGACGTCAGGCCCCCTAATTTTTTTTTTCCCCCGTTTTTTGGGAGTCGGACCTCCAAACCCTTTGATTGGTTTGGGGAGTCGACTCCCTAAAAAAATAACACTAATATTTTTTTATTCCAGCCCCCTGAGATTGGTTGAGAGCGTGCTTGCTAAAATGGACAACACAGCAACGCCGTGCTCCCCAGCTTTTACAATTGCAATCTCTGGACGATTGCATTCAGCCAGGTGTTGT